CCGGCACCAGCGCTGGAGGGGTTGCTGAATACAAGTGGAAGATCTGATCAAGAGGCATCTTTTAAGGTAAGTACTTAAAGCAGCATGGTGGGTGAGGAAAACATTTCTAAAATGTCACTTTAAAATTTCAGGGTTTGCAGAGGCTGCTTTTGGCAGTGTGGACAACAGCTGGTCTGGTGCCGTTTTAGTTAAATTAAACATGTTGGACATGGTCCAGGAGCTGCTGCCTATATAATGCTGTGATTCTCAATGGTAATGCCATCACCTTGCAGGATTGTAAACTTCCAAAGTCCCACAGCGTTTTGCTTTACCATTGGTGACAGTTCCTGGGCTGGAGTTGCTTGCTGATTATGGGGGGCAAAAAAGTGTATGGCTTGTATTTTTGATAAGGGGGTAGCAGAATCTTTTTACTAAATGTTCTGGTCTACACGGTGCTGAGTAGTTTGTAGATCAAGCTGGGTCAAACGTGTATTTGTTCATACTTGGCTGCAGGAATACAGAAACCGACAAATGACAACTCAAAGGTTGTCGGAATTAAAAATGCACATTTAGATGCATACAGAGAAAATGCAAAGAAGTCACCATTACTTGATGGCTGTGTGCAAATAAAGGATATGGCCCTGAAGTGTTGGCTTATGGACTGATGTGATATCATGTTGTAATAACCTTGTTTGCTCATTGAGCTATGGAGTGCTGGTGATCTTTGTATTCCTGAGGTTTTTCATGGAGCTATCCATGGCGGTCACTATAAGCACCTACTTGACCACTGGTCATAACCCTGTATGATGTGCAGCAGGCATCTACATTGGCATTCAGAGCGCTCGCTTTTCTCGGTGCGTCAATTTTTGATCCAGGCATTGCGGTACTGCTCAAAACTACCCTCCCTTGTCACTCACCCACTGCAGATCTGACTTGTATACAAAAAGTATAGGTCATTACTAAAGTCTGTCACCAAAACGGCATTTAAATGGAAGTAGAAAGTGAAGTTACACAGCACAGGCTTCAGGCAATATATGCTCCAAGTGGGCTCTCTAATATTCTCTGCACTGGGTTAGAGAGCTCAGATTGTGTTGAATGGATTGAACTTTCTGATTTTAGTAGACTAAATGTTTGCAGGTTATCACTGGTAGCCCCCATTTAGGTTTCCACTTGTCTGGTTTTGCTCTGAGTTACTACCCTACTGTTTGCTTTATGGACAAAGTCCTTGTGGCTTTGCAAGACAGTTCTAGGCTGGCAGTACCTGTAAGTGATTTGGAGTGACGGTGAATATAAAACCCGGGTACGCATTGCACTGCAGAGCAGAGGCCATGACACTGGTGTGATATTCTCCAATCAGCTAATATGTCATAGGAACGGTTTTTATGTAGTTTTCTTCCTCTCCTCAGATTGAAGACACATACAAAAAGGCTCATTCTTCCATCCGGGAGAACCCAGTCCACGAAAAGAAGCCCAAGAGAGAAGTCAAAAAGAAGAGGTATGTTGGTGTAAAAAGAAAAGCCATGAAGTCTTGTTTTTATAGGGGCAACTTCATACATTCCATTGTGATTTAATGCATGACAATGTGTTTTCAGATTGCATCCCCCTTCCCCATAGTCTTGAGTTGACTTGTATGCAGCCATTTTAAAATGCAGGATATTAAACAAAGGGGAGGGACTTTTTAAGACCAGTATTTCCATGAATCTATTCATAAAACACCTTCCTTTCCTTTAAAGGAATATCAATTCAGTAGTTTGCTGCATTGGCATTTTGATAAAAGCCACAGGGTGACTTGGTTACAATTTGTACCTTTGATGTAACGTGTGTGTGGCGCCTGTATATATAGTTTGCTGGGTAAGGTTGCTGGTAATGGTAATTGGTAAAGTTTTGTGTTATTGAGTAATGTCTCATTACCATTAAAGGCCTATTTGTGAATTTGCCACGTATGTATGAATGAGGCCATATGAAGACATAACTGGCATGGAAATCTCCGTGAATGTCCATGATAAATCTAAGCCGACTATTTTCTAACTTGCTGCTTTCCCTTTTATAATGGGTCCCTCTTCAGCAAAGGTTCTCAGTCCTTTAACCATTGCAGGCAATGATTGTGTTCTTGTAAATCAGTGGTGATTACAATTAACTGGGATTTTTCTCCGGTCTTGTTTCAGGTGGAATCGTGCCAAACTGTCTCTGGCACAGAGGAAAGACCGCATTGCTCAGAAAAAAGCAAGCTTTCTCAGAGCTCAGCAGAAGATTGCCGACAGCTAAACTGGGCTTCCTGCAATTTTCTACAAGAGTCTCATAAAATAAATCTATTGATGCTAAATCAAGTGTCTGTGCTTTTATCTTGCTGAAACATGTTGCTGTAAAATGAGCTTTCACTTTCATAGGTTTGTGTGTGTCCTGGTCCACTATTGTCCAATAAGGGGGGGAGCGTATTTTATGGTGGGGGGTTAATGTAATTTCATAAGCTTTAAGGGGGCGTGGTTGGGGTTGGAGGCAGGCCTGGGCAAGGTTTGGTGGGACAACTGGTGGAGAGTAAG